TGTTTAAGTTTCAAAATGTGGATCGTAATTAATCATTTTCCTTACTTTCCTGCTTAATTTTTTTATGTGACATGGCCCTTAGTCATAAACTCCTAGTCTACTCTTGTTATTAGTTTCAACGTCTTTATCAAAGCTGATTAGTAAGTAAGGTTTTACTTAAGTTGTTCAACTGTTTTTATTTAACGTTAGTTAATTGTACTATGATTTTGTTTCAAATGTATATTGTAATTTAATACATGTTACAATATGTAGTCAATTACCTAGTATGTAAGTTATATGTACATCAAAGACGTTTAGTGAGTATTTAAGTTTTTAGTTTGAGGACTGTAAGTTTCCATTTGATTATAATTGTTCCGAGAATTATTCTATATTTTATTCAGATGATGTTTAAAGACTGAAAGTGTCTCTATATTTGGTTTTGTTATTCTGCTGCTCTTGTTTGACATAAGTGTAATTGCAGCCTGTTTCAGAAGTCTGTAGTAAATTAGCAATTGCTATTATTTGTAGCCAGTAATGTGTAACTTCAGAAATAAAACTTGAATTTGCGAAACTTCTTTAAAAGTTATATTTATTGCTCGATTTATTGCATTCTTCATTTTGCATTGCATAGTAATTTCCTGAAATTATCTAGAAATCCTCTTGAATTCCTCTGAAATCCACTTAAATTCCTCTGACGTCCACTTGAATTCCTCTGAAATCCACTTAAATTCTTCTGAAATTCATTTGAATTCCTCTGAAATCCACTTGAATTCCTCTGAAATCCGCTTGAATTCCTCCGAAATTCACTTGAAATCCGATGAACTTGTTGAAATTCACTAAAATCCGCTGAAATATTTTCCTTCTGAAATCTGGTGTACAAATTTTTTTCTAATTGTGAACCCCTCGTCTTAAGACAATACTTAAGATGATTTTGAAATAAGAATCGACTATGAATACCGGCCTAAGCGACCTACCCCCACTAACGAAGTCAGGAGACCTGTATACAAGACCGTGGACTAATCACAGTCAAGCATTTTTGACTGCGAATGGAGTTAGTTGATGACAGCGCTCCCAGTAATCTCTTTTCAGAACGATTAGCTGTCACAAATGTCGGCCCATTCTGATCATTCTGATTACGGGCAGTTCGGTCTCCTTATACATTCTCTATGCTGGCAACTTATATACGCAGTTCCGTCTGGGCCGTCGAGCGGTTCACACGTCTTCCGACGGAAGTTAAATTTTTGATCCTGCGGGATTGCATCATCCCGCGCGTGGCCCGGTTACCGGGTAATTGCATCGTTCAATTCACTACATTCCAAGCAATACCATTAAGTCTATTGGTTCGACGTGGCCGTGTCGGCTCAGTGTCTGTGAGCCGGGAGCCAATAACCAGAGAAGAAGAAGGACAACTTATATACGCACTGTGTATACGTGTATACTTGAATCTCGCTCAGACTCTTGAGCTGCATTGTTGTACATACATCCTCGCGTTCGCGTTTTCTATTGTTTTCTATTGTCTTTCATCGTAATGCGTACTACCGAACTTGATAACCTACACAAGAGACACACGAACCCAAAAGAAAAGAGATCTAACCGTGTGGTATTGCATCGTCTCATTTTTCGCAACAGAAGTCATATTCAACGGTAAGAGAGAGAGAGAGAGAGAGAGAGAGAGAGAGAGAGAGGGAGGGAGGGAGGGAGGGAG